TTTTCCCCTAATACGTATGCTGATCTTTTTAATAGTAAGAGATGAGATATTTAAAGTTGGTAGTCACTGGACGATCGGGAGGCGAAGTTGGGAATGTTGGAATCTGACATTATGAAGGGAAGCTCCTAATTAGTCTTCAAGAGAAAGCTCAACCGCTTCTCCCACAATGTCCCCCAAAGACCCTCATCCCTCTTGCTTCCTGAGCTTTTGTCTTTTTTTTTTTTTTTTTTGGAACTGGGGGTAGAACCCAGGGCTTTGCGAATGCAAGGCAGAAGCTTTGCCACTGAGCTACATCCCAGCCCCTGAGCTTTTGATTTATCCGTGACTCAGCACTTTCCAGGTTCTAAAATGGTATAATTTATTCTTCAATGGTTTCCTTCCTGGAAGGAGCTTCTCCTGATAGGGATCAAATATCCTGCCTCTCTAGCACACCCCCTGGCACAACCACTTGCACTTAATAGGTGTGTGATAAATGCTGCTTTAAGAGGAAGTCCTGCTATCTTCCAAAGAACTTTCCATGAGCTCTACCAGAAGGAATGTTTTTTGATTGACGCTCAGGTTAGTAAGCATGACAGGTCTAAAATGTCCATCTGTCACAGAAACTGAATGGGAGTTAAGTAACTTTTAGATGGTCACAGTTTGCTGACAGTTTGTATGATAATGTTTCATAGATTATGAATATGAAACATACCCCATATTGCCTTATTCTATAGGTATTATGGAAGTTATTGTGGCCTCTGTTATTTTAAGTCCCCTTGAATCCAGACATCTTGTTCTACCTGTGTCTATACACCACTAAGACCCCTCCTTAAAAGACACTCATCACTCATCAAATCTTTTTTGGAGTGAGGAGAGTAAGACATGGAGATCCTGCCACATGACAGGATTAGGTCTTCCTTGAAATGTGCCTGAAATATTAAAAAGAAAAGTTGGATGATCAATTCTAGTGTAATAAATAACATTTAATAAATTTTTTTTGAAACCATTTTCCAATGTTAACCTTCCCATTAGCACATTCTCTAACTGACTCTTACCTCCCCCAAAAGAAAAAAACAACTAACCATCCAAAACAGTCAAGGGTCACGCTTTAAAAAGTTTTCAAGTGACAAATAAGAAGTGACATATCTATCCCATAATGCATGAGGAAATCAACTTTCAATATAGAAGACTAAAAAAAAATTTATGGCTATGAAAGGGAAAAACAAGCAAGATGTGATTGGATATGAGAAAGACACGGGGAGGAGGAGAGATAATAGGCATTCAGGAAGAAGGAGAAATGAAAACAGATTACAAGCAGCCCTGAGTGGCAATAAAAGTAGGAAGGATGATGGGTGGGGTGAGTGTTAGACCCAGTAGAGGGACAGTTTCTTTGTTGTTGTTTTTATCAGCTTTATTGAGATATGACTGACATGCCATAATATTCACCCTTTGAAACGTACACATCAATGTGTTTCAGTTATTTTCCAGGTTATGCAACTGCCATCAATATCTACTTTTAATTAATAGAGAAAAAAGAAAACACACGCCATCAGGAGTCACTCCCCACCTGCCTTTCCTCCCCCACCCCCAGCCCACCTGGTCCTAGGATGTCACTGTTTTACTTCTTAACTATTGACCTGCCAGTTCACATAAACGTGACTCTACCATATGTGGCCTTTTGTGTGTTTGTCTTGGTGGTTTTGTACAACTCCCTAGTAACTAATAGCATCAAGCATCGGATGCTTGTTGAACATTTATATATCTGTTTTTTTTTTTTTTTGAGAAATGTTTACTCAGCTATTTTATCCATTTTTTGGAGATGAGTACTAGGGATTGAACTCAGGGGCACTTGGCCACTGAGCCACATTCCCAACCCTATTTTGTATTTTATTTAGAGACAGGGTCTCACTGAGTTGCTTAGCGCCTTGCTTTTGCTGAGCCTGGCTTTGAACTTGAAAACCTCCTGCCTCTGCCTTCCAAGCTGCTGGGATTATGGGCATGCCACCGTGCCTAGATATTTTATTCATTTTTAAATTGTGTTATTTATCTTCCTACTGAATTCTAAGAGTTCTTTAATATAGTCTGCGTATAGGTGAAAGTTCTTTAACAGATATATAATTTGTAAATACCTCCTTCCTTTTCACATTCTTTAGAGTAAACTTTGAAGCACGAAAGTTTTTAGTTTTGACATAGTCCAGTTTATTATTGTTTCTTGACATTTTGATGTTGTATCTAAGAAAAATTTTGCCCAACCAACATCATGAAGATTGATTCCTATGTTTTCCCCTAAGTTTCATAGTTTTAGCTCATATTTATGTCTCTGATCTATTTTTAGTTAATTTTTATGTATGGTGTTAGCTGAGGGCCTGACTTCATTCCTTTTCATGTATACAGCAGTTCCAGGGCCGTTGAATGCTCTGTCATTCTAAGAAAAAAATCAGTTTTCAAAGATATGGGGCTTTTGGCTTCTCAGTTCTACACCATTGATCTACATGTACTTGAGCTGATACATGTGTCTCTGTTAGCATAATTTTATAGTAAGTTTTGGAATCAGGAACTGTAAATCCTCCAACTTTTTTTTTCCCCCAAGAGTGTTTTGGTTTTTCAGTATTCCTGGAAATTTCACATGAAATTAATTATTGGTTTTTCTATGTCAACAAAGAAACCAGTTGGAATTTTAATAGGTATTGTCTTGAGTCAGGGAATTTTGTCACCTTTATTATATTAAATCTTCTGGTCCATGAACATGGGATTTTTCCATTTGTTTACGTCTCCTATAGGTTTTTAAAGAATGTTTTGTACTTTTTTGTTACATTTTTACTTCTTTTATTAAATTTATAGCAAGATTTTTTTTTCTTTTTGATGCCATTGTAAAGGCATCAAATTTTATTTTCATTGATAGCATATAGAAATGCAATTGATTTTTGTATATTGATGTTGAATTTTGGAACCTTGCTGAACTTTATTAGCTCTGATTTTTTTAATGGAGTCTTTAGGATTTTTATGCAGAAGATTACATTGTATGCAAATTAACATAGTTACTACTTCCTTTATAATCTGAATTCTCTTTTCTTCCTGATTCCTTCATTATTGCTTCTGTTGGAATTTCCAGTAAAATATTAAATAGAAGTTGTTTAAAGCAAACATCTTTCTCTTATTTTTCATCTTTCTTATCAAGGTATTTTTATAATACCATTTTCATAGAATGAGTTGGAAAGTGTTCTCTTCACTTCTGTTTTTGGAAAAAACTGTGAAGGATTGATAATTCTTCTTTGGTAGAATTTCCAAGTGAAACAATATGGTCCTCAGATTTTCTTCATGGAAAAAAAATTTAGTTATTTATTTGACATCTTTTATTGTATAGAAGTATTCATATTTTCCATTTTATATTTGAGTCAGTTTTAATAATTGGTTTTTATCTGTTATCTAATTTGTTGGTATAAAACTATGCTAATATTCCCTTATAATCTTATTATTTCTTTAAGATCAACAGTTATATGCTCTATATCTCTATATTCACCTTCATTCTTGAAGGAATCTTTCCTTTTCTTTTCTTTATTAGTGTGAATCTTGTCAATTTTGTTGATCATTTCAAAGAATAAATTTTTTATTCTATTTATTTCCTGTATATTTTGATATTCTCTATTTTATTCGTTTCCTGCTCTAATGATTTTTATTTCCTCCCTTTTGTACACTTTGAGTTTAGCCTGCCCTATGTTTTCTAGTGTCTTAAAATAGACTATTAGCTTGTTGATTTGAAATCTGAGTTTTCTATGTAGGTACCTGCAGCTGTAAGTTTCCTTCTAAGCTCTGCTTTCACTGCTTCCCAAACATTTTAGTATATTTGATTTTGTTTTCGCTCATCTCAAAGTACTCTCTATTTCCTCCCATGATTTCCCTTGTGACACATTGGTTCCTTTGGAATATGTTGATTAATTCCCACATATTTGTGAATTCCCCGAATTTCCTTCTGTTATTGATTTCTGACTTAACTCCATTGTGATTTGAAAACATAACTTACTATTATTTCAGTCCTTTCACATTTATTGAGACTTGTTCTCATTCATCTCAGAGAAAGTTCCATATGCACCTGAGAAGAATGCTCATCCTGTCACTGGGTAGAATGTTCTACGTGCGTCTATTAGGTCTATTTGGGTTTCTGTTTTCTTGTGGATCTTCTGTCTGGTTTTTCTATTAATTGTGAAAAGGGAGGTGTGGAGGTCTTCAACTTGTACTGTTCAATTGTCTTTTCTTCCCTTCCATCTATCCGTTTTTTCTTGGTGAATTTTGGGCTCCTATTGTTAAGTGTGTAGATCATCATCGTTTTTAATTTTTCCTGATGGATTGATCCTTTATCATTTTCAAAGTTCCTCTTTAATAACTTTTTTTTGTTTTAAAATCTATTTTGTCTGACAGAGATATAAAGACTTTATTTCTCCTTATCATCTGCATGGTGTATCTTTTTGATTCTTTTGTTTTCAACCCATTTGTGTCTAGTGGACAGTTCTTATTACACCACCTTAGATCAGGAATTCATAATACATTATCATCATCACTATTAGTGGACTTGTTTCTTTCATGATTAGCCACTGATGATGTTTTATCCAGCTCTGCTGAGGCTCTGCATTAACCTATAAGTTCACCATCACGAAGCATGGAAGACAGGTGGGGATTGGTATTTTCTGGGATGACATATGGATTAGAGCCATATAAATGTCAACGATTCTTACAAGGGATGACATCAAATCAAGAAGAGGCTGAGATTTGAATTTTACTTAAGTGCTGGCATTTTGCACCATGGTTTGGGACCCGACTATCACATTGTTATATTTCCTGCTCTGAATGCTCATCTAGAATCACAGGGTCTTTTGTGAAGGTGGGCTCCAGTATGTCTGGCATCCCATTTCATCCTCCGCCTCCTTGAAGGCTGGAAAGGAAAGAGTTGTAACAATAGATGTGCTGGAATGCTCCTGTCAGGAGCTGACCTTTGTATCATTGCTCCTCTATTTTCAGAGACCAAAGAGCTTAAGTTAAAATTGGAAAGAAGCCATGGGACTGAGCAGCTTTTCCTCTTTGGAAATGCAAAGGCTTAACAGAATTCTCCCCTTGTCATCCTCGCTGCCCTTCACCCTGACCCTCACACCTTCCCAACATTAGGGAAAGGCAGGAAGTTTTCCCTGAGGGTTTTCTTTGTGACGACACTGGTGGGGCAGATTGATCAATGGGGAAAACCCCATGTGAGAACACGCCTTCTGTGTACATTCCCAATATTTGGCTATAAGTAGGGCTGTTATTAGAGCAGAACAGCACTCTCAGGGCACTGGGTCCACAGTGCTGAGCAGATCTATTCTTTGAGCTGAGAATGATGTGCAGTGGCAAGAGTTTGCTCCTGGCTGCCTTGGTGTCAGTGCTGCTCCTCCATCTCTGCAGAGAGTCAAAAGGTAAGTATTCTCTTTCCTGCTAGGATGGAGTGCAGGAGAACTGTTTTTCTGTTCCTGTAAGCCTGGAAGTCCTGCAGGTCCCCAGGGGAAGGGAAACTGTTAGGAAGTATACAAAAGGGAAGGGCGGGAGTCCTCAGTTTATGGATGAGTAGAGGGGACCAGGGTTATTACAGCCAATCAGGCTTCTTCTCTGCTGTGAATCCCAGCAGATTTGGGGTGTAGTGGGCTTCCAGAGGCTCCAGAACTTCAGGAGGAGACCAAAGTGCCATTTTGGGGAGTGATGTAAACTGTATAACATTTGTCCGTATTAAAGGTCCTTCTGAAGCATAGAGAACTCTCCCACTTCCCGAACCTTTTCCTTCCCAAAGAAACAATGTTTGTAAAGTTCAAAACTTCTCCTTTAAGTGTTGACTATGGCACTTGACCTCATTAGCCCCATGAGCCAGGGGACATCGCTTGCCAACTTTGAGATAAAATTTATTCCTTATCTTATAGCAGGTTATAATTTAATGCAGAGTAGTGTCCAAGTATTGCTTTATTACTGAAGAGTACATCTCTTTTAGCAATAGGTGCATGATTGAAAATGCACGTTAACATTTTATGAACAGAATTTTAAATCACCATCAATGGTGTTGCAATTGCAAAGTGCTTTAGCTATCGCTTCTAAAAAGCAAAAAAAAAAAAAAAAAAAAATCAACTTTTACTTTCTAAGGCCATTTCTCAACATTGGTAACAAACACTAGATTAAAATCTACCAATTTATTAATTTTTTGAATTTGGAAGGTTTATCTATTAAGGTGTTTTTTTTTTCAAGTGAGGATGTAAAGGGTGCCTACATTTTTGAGTGATTATGGTAGACTGAAATAAAATATTGTCAGTTTGCATTTCTTATTAAAGATAGTTTATTCATGAGAAGTCATGTGTTTCTAAACTATTATTGAACCCAAACTTCCTAGCCCACCATTTTGTAAAAAAAGAATTGGAAATTACATTAACCTGAATCCAGAAACCCAAAATGGGTTTCAAAGAAATTAAAATTCTTCCATAAAATGGGTTATTTGTTGCACAAATCAGATTCACTAGATTTTTTCACAACTTCAGATTGTTCCATAATATCAGTTACAGAAGTTCATCACATGGGTTTAATATCTTTCATTTCTCTTTCAGCAGCAAGCAACTTTGACTGCTGCCTACGATATACAGAGCAGGTCTTTCATCACAAATTCCTTGTGGGCTTCACACAGCAGTTGGCCAATGAAGCCTGTGATATTGATGCTGTCATGTAAGTCATTCACTGATTTTCAATCAATTATACCAAGACTACATGAGAATTTCAGATTTTTTGGGGGTCTTTTTAGAGTCTCATTCAGAAATAACTGATGTGGCAAAGGCAATTTTATGTTAATAGTACACATCTACTTTGAAGTTTAAATAGGACTGAAGTAAGGCTAAAGCTTACTTTTTTGAACAAAAAATAAGGCAGAAATCATTTTCTAATATAAACTTATAGGCTATTAAAATGTACTTCAGGAATATATGGGAGATATATATTTTGAAATAAATATTTTCTACTTGAAAATGTTTGGGCCTGTAAGTAAAAATCTCAGACTGATTATTCTGTCATTTAAATATTCTTGATTCCTATAGGATATAGGAATGATGTAAGTTACTGATCATATATATATATATATATATATATATATATATATACATATTGCATGTAACCACTAGCAGCAAAGTTGAATAAAAATTTTGAAAGTTTATCTTCCTGCCATTGTATAATTATTTGTTATATTGCAGAAAAAGTCAAGGATAATCATTTTGACATATTGCCTCAAGATTTATCATGAGCATTTTTTTTGCATTTCATTTTACCTCTTTAGCTGAAATGTTTAGTGTGTAGAGCTATCCACCGAAATAGGAAATGTACGTTGCATGTTTTGTGAAAAAGACACTTAAAATTTATTAAACACAAATCAAATTTTCTGACTTTTTAGCTTTTACACAAAGAAGAAATTAGCTGTATGTGCAGATCCAAAGAAGCCCTGGGTGAAGAAAGCTGTGCGTATGCTCAGGTATGGATGACTGGCAATCAATTAGCCTCTCTCCAAGTGCAGGGGAAAGGGGTGTGTGCAGAGGGGTCCATTGCAGGCTTGCTGGGGTTCTTCAGCCTATGTGCTGTGAATTTTTTAAAGGGAAAACTTGGATTGAATGATGAAAATAAAAGGAAGTTTTCCCACATATAGATCATTATCCTCATTATCATTTTAATTTAGTGTTTGTTCACATGAAGTATTAGATTCCTCCATGCTCTCTTCAGCCACTAGTTGCTTGATTCCTGTTGCAATGATGCTTCCTATTTACAGAATTTACGCTCTACTTGATGTTTGATTGTTAAAAACTGAAAAGTAAGCATTAGTTAAGAAAAGTCCAGAGGTTCTGATTTATATTGATGACACTAGAGAATAACATTTTATCAATAAATGGCCCCTAACACCATTGTGCTATAGACACTGAACTTGGAAACACAAGATTAGTGTTTACATTCTGTTTCTGTCATGAACTAGCTTAGCTATTCAGAAAGGTGCATCGTCTCTAAACTTGAGTTTCATTAAGCAGACCTTGAGCTGCTTTACATTCTGAGATGAGATTAAGGACATGTGAAATGACCTTCAGGTCCCAAAGCCATTCCCATGATTCAGCCACCCTGTCTTTTCTTACACTTTCCTTCTTTTTCTCTTTATAGTCAAAGAGTCAAGAAGATGTAAAAACAGATGCTCTTCTGGAATGGAATTAGACACAGCTCAAGAAAAACAAGATCCCACCTGGGATTGGAAGTCTCACTTGCACATTTTTCAGCACTACCTGACCTCTGCTTTATTGGACTTGTCCAATGGATGAAGTTGATTCATATTGCATCATAGTTTGCTTTGTTTAAGCATCACATTAGTTATGCTCCATTTTATGTTAAGTTATTTATAGCAGTAGGTATAGCTATTTAATAATAATTTCCCATAAGCTATGTGGCTTAGTGCAAGGTATGGGAATAAGATTATATGGCCTTCTTGCAAGCAATAAGCTATTTTTTAAAAAAACTATTTAACATTCTTCTGTGTACATAATTTTGTCTCCTAAATTGTAATGATATTTTAAAAGACAGAAATGATTATAAGAAGGATTAATATTAAAAATAAAACAAAAACACAAAAATTTACTTGCTGATTATCATTTATTAAGACACATAATAAAAATACTTGAAGACAGCAGTTAAGAACATTTTCTGAAAAATTATAATCCTCATTTATTTCTGCCTGAATATTTTCTTTATATCTATCCCTCATGGCCCTGGAATTGATTCCACAAGAATTGTTGTTTTTGTTTTTAAATTCAAAGTCACCCAAACCAAAAATCAGAAAGATCTTACATTTGTGATCCATAGTCCAGTGTTTATTGTTATAATTTTTTTAATATCAAAAAGTATGGAGGCTGGGGTTGTGGCTCAGTGGTACAGTGCTTCTCTAGCACATGAGAGGCCCTGGGTTTGATCCTCAGCACCACATAACAATAAATAAACAAAATAAAGGTATTGTGTCCAACTACAACTAAATTTTTTTTTTTAAAAAAGTGTGCCTCTAGACTCTGTGAATGTCAGAGGAACACAACAATCATTGAGAAAAAAACAGGAGTAATTTCTTGGTCCATCATCTTTCATGAGCCAGGATGCTTGGAATAGTCACCTTAGCATAGGAACCTTTCTCTAAAGCCCTCCTGAGTCTTCTATAAGCAGTTTCCAAATGGAAAATAACTACTTGGACAGTTCTTAGAATCTGACCACTTCACTAGATGGAGAGACTTCAAACAGATAAAACCCAGTAGGAACCCAGCAATAAGGTGCAAGGACCCTGAAACAAGGTGGCTGCTGTCAGTGTTCATGCACTGAAGCTCATGGTTTGCCTCAACACAGTACTTTGAAGGGTCTGCCTTGGTTTGGGAGGGACATGGACGATCACTGAAGGCAGACATGCTGATGACATGATGCAAACTCCAGATGCACACATCCATAAAGCAGGGCAGAGGTGGGTCATTTGAAGAAGAGCCAGAAGAGTAAGTGGCTCAATATACCTCGGAGACGTATCTGTGCCCAAGAATAGTAACATTGAGTCATCAGGGAAAGTATGCTCAACATCCTGTTGTTTATTCAGCAAGCACAGGCTTAGTACTTCTATGTGTCAGGCACTGTGCCAAGTGTTGGAGAGATTAAATGACTTAAGACTTGGTAACTTGCTCAAGGATAATTAGGGTTGAGCAGTGTGGTGCGGAGAAGGGACAAGTATCCATCTATTGCAACACGTGGTGGTAAGCACTTTGGTAAAGTGCCACTGGGTGCCACAGGACATCATTAGTGAAGGCTTCCAAAAGGAAACAATATTCAGTTTCACCATATTGAATCACTGATGTTCTGGGTTCTTGACCTATGAAGAAAGCAGTTGTATGAGCTGAGGTATGAAGGACCAGTAGGAGGTAGCCCATGGAAAAAAGGGGCAGCTGCGAATGGTTGGAAATATCCAGAGACATGTTTTGATTATCACAATATTTGGGGGTAGGGTACTATAGGCATTCACTGGGCAGGAGCCAAGGATGCTAAACCTACTGAAATGCCCAAGAGAGTTCTGCACAACAAAGCATTGTTCCATCCCAAATGGCCATCAGAGCACCATTAACAAGAGTGAACGAAGCCGAATGTTTGGGTGTGGGCGTGGAGTGGCTGAGGATTAAGTGAATCTGTTACTGCAACCAAGTGTAGTTATTTGAACTTGAACATGGAATTACTGGGGAACCATTGACCAAGGTGTGGTTTCCTCATGGCAGAGGAACAGGAGGTGGGGCAAATGGAAAGCAGAGGTACTAGAGACAGCCACAAGGAATAAGGAGAGAAATGGCAAAAACTTAGCTAAAGCCATGGAGAAAGAAAAGGTACCAAAGAGATGGGTTTGTGAATCCTGAGCCCATTCTGGACACCGCTTCTGCCCATCCCTCAACTGCCCTTTCTTGGAACAGCATAGACAAAAATTGTCAGGGGACAGCAGATTTGTCCTGACTTCTCTGTAGCCTCACCAGGTAAGCCTGTGGAGTGAGAAAAGGAGAAAACTTTGTTAGCACTTTGGAGGTGTCTGAATCATTTGGGACCAGTACTACTTAGTAGCTATGAGGTAAGTTTCTGGAGACTGAAATCTCCAAGCCAGATTGCAAATGTATTAGTTCATTAATAATGAAAGCATCCTGATGTGAGTGGCATGGGCATAAGTACATGTAAAGATTAACTGAGCAAGCCACATGGGAAGTCAAACTGGATCCCAAAACTGGTTTGTTAAGCTTGGGATTAGAGCAGAGAGCTACACTTTGTAATTTTAATGTTTAATGCTTTGATGTCATGGCACTAACCATGTTCTTGAATTAGGGATGTTGCTCTAAATTCACAGCAATTTCTTTCCCATTTTGGAAAATGTACATCTTTCTATTTAATTTTTAACGCTTGTATAATTTATATGCAGTAAAGTACACACATTTCAGGTATGCAGCATGATGAATTTTTACATGTGTACATGCCTGTGTAGCAACCCTGCTAAAGATATTAAATGTTTTTAGTAGCCAGAAGGCTCCCTCACACCCTCTGTACAGCCAAAGATGCTGCTGTTCTTATGTATTCACAGTGCAGCAGTTGGCTTCTTCTTGGTTTCATATATGCGGAATCATACAAAATGTACTCTTGGGTGTTCGGCTTCTTTCACTAGAGTCTCTGGTCTTTTTAAACTTACTTTTAATTCTACATGTAATTCAAGATTTCATTTCCCATTCTTTTATTCAAGCAATAATGATAAAGTGAATATTAGTGATAGACTTTTGTCAGTTGAGGTTGTAGGGAAAGAGAATCCCAGTAACACTGAGTTGAAGTATGAATGGTGATCAATCACTCAACAGCGAAGGTGAGAGGAGAAAAATCTAGAAACTAGAATACTTCAATATGATTAGATAATTGAAGAGCCAGGAGAGAGAATGAGAGGGGCAGGTAATTGAAAACATTATAGAACTATAAAGAGTTGAAAGTTGTGAGAATGGAACAAATGGCTATTCAGCTTCTTTCAAGAGGCAGGAGAAGTGGAGGAAGAGTGGGGAGAACATGAGGAGGATTTTACAGTCTGGGTTGGAGGAGGTTGGTGGAGTCTGAATCAGTGGTGATGCCTTCCTTGGTGAATGACCCGTCTTTGAGAGTGATGAGTGAGTGGGCTGGAATGGAGCTTTGAGATGAAAGGAGCTTCAAGATAGTGAAGGACACAGGGCACACTGAAAGGTGGTTCCATGGCGTGGGGGCCCTGCTGAGGTTGGAGACAGGGAAGCTGCTGTGACTACAATTGGGATGGATCAGGAATAGGAGCAGACAAGGGTGGTTAGTTCGACTAGCCAGGTTAGGCTTTGCGTCCGGGTGTGAGCACTAGTGATGGGAGTGGGCAGGGAAAGAGGTTCAAGTGCTGAACCCCTGGATCTTGACCAAAGACAGCAGAAAGACAGGGAGTGAATGGAGAGGCCCTCAGATAAAAGGATCTAATGTGGTCAAAGGGCAGGAGAGGGGTGGGCAGGAAGGTATGAAACTGCTCCAGGATCCAAGGTCCAGGGCGTGACGGAGTGTGTAGTTCAAGTGCATCGGGGCCTGGAAAGCTACCAGATTGGCTTAGTCATCGCCATTGGCCTTCCTTCCATGTTTTCTTAGGGAAAATACAAGAGCAGAAAGACTCTTAGAGGGAGGCTTCATGCACACATGGCCCATTGGCCAATCTTGTTTCATTTACAGCATTCAACTTACTTCTCCCCACCTATAACTTCTGGATTACTTTATAGCAATTATTTGACATCTAATTAGTTTGTCTATAAATATTTCATTATACATAAAATATAGAGACTTTTTAAAAACACATAATTTTATTATCAAAGATTTAAAAGCCAACATGAATGTTCTAATATCACCAGTCAACATTCAGATTTCCCTGCTTGTTTTTAAAATAGGTATTTTTTTTAAGTTAAATTGCTTGAAGATGCAAATGAGAGGCCCACACTGCATTTGTGTAGTTTGCTTCTTTTTACTTTTAACCTGCAAGTTCTTCACCATGAGTTCCATTTCTTTTTCTTCTGCAGTTTGTCCTAGAGGACCCGGGACACTTGTTCTGTGGTTGTCCACATTCTGAGTTTTGCAGATTGCAAGCTGGTCATTTATTTAACATGTTCTCTGATCTCTACTTAGAAGTAGGTTGGATCTGATGACAACCTGGTTGGGGAAGGAGGGCAAGACTACTGTATGCCACGTGGGTATGAAGCTGCCCCAGCTGATGTCAGTGGCAGGAGAGAAAGAGGTTCAAGACCTTCACAGTGTGATGGTTTAAACATATCCACATGCTTCAAAGAAGGTGATGGTGCAGGTGTGTAGGGATGGAGAAGAGCCATCCTAGAAGCACAATGTTAGTTTCCACCTACTGCTGGTCCTGTGCTAGAAGAGGAGAGGAAAAAGAACCCCTCTGTCTTGAGAGGGGCAGAAGCAGTTTTCAAACTGATTTGGTGGTTTAATTAGCACAGAGCAGCATTGACATCAGCTGAGTTTGGTGATATTTGCAATATTTTTTTCTATGTCTCTGACTCAAAGCAAGCACAAAATGTTTATGAATAAGTCTGGCATAATAATATGGTTGTAGAAGACGCTTCCCAGAGTCCTGATTGGCACAGTCTGTTCTTCATCTCTTTAATGATTAGCATCAAGGCAGAGGGAATAGGCAGAGGCCTGACAGGTAAATGTAGACTTTTTCTTTCTGTTTTCTTGTCCCACTTCCTTCCTGCTCTATGTGATTAGCAATTACCTTAACAGATATAGATGAAATTAAATATCACCAGGTGATAGGGAACACATTTGATTTACATTTATTCAGACTCAGGCCTCATGGAGCTCAATCTTTCAGGGGCCCAAATTCAGCAAAGAAAAAAAGCAACTCATTCCAGAGTGTTGAAACCCAGAGGTTTCTACTAAGAGGCCAAAGAGAGAAAAGGGCAGCTGACCCTTTGGAGTTCATCAGATATATTTGTAAACTCACTTCTCCTGTTGTCCACCAAAACTGTGTTTTTATGAAAGACCTTCAATTCCTTAAGTGAATTTTCAGCCAACAGAAGATTCTC